ACATAACAGTGGCTAGTGCATTCAGGTATATCATGTTTGATTAAAAAAGGTCCAGTGAAAGTACCTTTTGAACTGCTGATGAAGACATACTACTGTTTAGATCAGGAGCCTCAAACTTCTATTTTGTAGTGAAAGGTTTTCAAATGGTACTAAGGAATCTTATTCTGCTTTTCTCTGTGTTGAAATTTAGTTAAATACCCTCCAGGAAATTGCATGTCTAAAAAATCGTCTATGTAACATTTTCCATCTGTGCAGATGAATTAATCCCCACTTGTATTTGCATTTTTACAGCTTTACTAGCTCTATTGATTTTGGTTTGAAAAACATCTACAAAAAGTGGGATGAGAAGCAAAAAGAAATAAGAATGGAAAATAAGAATGAAAGGGTTAATCGCTGACATAATCAATGACCTCTTTCAAAATTATTTTATCTTAAAATAATTTGGGGGGTTAATTTTTGTGGTTTTCATATATAACTGTTATTGGAAGGCTGCTTTTAGAACTGTCATCTTCTGGGCTGTGGGAAGATTTCTAAAGGTATTCAGCAGAGCAAAGAATGTCTTTGGGCTTTGAAGTTCTTTCTCTTGATACCCTGCTGAGGCAATTGAGGCACTGACTCTCCATGAAGTGCAGAAGGAAATACCCTTTATTATTACAATAGTACATACTTGTGCTATGGTTAAAGCTCTTACTTCATAATTAGCAAATCAGCAATTAGGCAGCTTTTTGCAATTGCGATTGCAATCAGCAATTAGACCTTTTGTCCTATCAGTTTAAGACCACTCTAACACGCGCTGTGCAGACCAATCACCTTCTTGTTCATGCACTGTTCACGCAGCGATAACTTCTCACAGTTCAGTTTTGCAGCTGTCTGTTGTTTTTCCCTGCCACATTGTCACAACTTGGTTCTCTTACTCCCAAGGCCTGTTTTTTAATCAAAGCTTTGCTGCTTCTCAGGGGCTGTGCAGCACTGACAGGCCAATGTCAATTTGCCTCTCTCCCACACCCTAGCACCTTCTTCCTATCCTCTACACATCATCAGCAAAGCATGGGTATCACCCATTTGTCTGATTTTAGTACACAGAAAAATCCATATGTTAATTATGGATTTAATAATGACCCTTATTCCCTCAGGCAATCCTTCTTTAACTGAATACACCATAATGTATTTCAAATATAAGCTTTATCAACACTGTTTTTTCAGAACTCTTATTCTGGATATTATTGTCCTAATAATAAAATGAACTGATTACCCTGTAACATTATAGTTAACTTCAGTTACAAATTTCATTTTGATAAGGTTGAGTTCAAAGTACACTACATGTAGTGTTTCATTGAGTCCTGTCATTCAGATTCGAGTTTGAGGGACAAATGAATATAAACGTGTTAGGTATTCAAATCAGAACACAATATTTATTAATGCTTTTGAAAACAGAATTTTAATTTTTTTTTTTTTTCAAGGTAGAAGACTAATTAATGAATGTTTTACCTTTCTTAATCGTCAGTGCAAAATCTGTTAGCTAGCCAGGACTTAATAAATAAATAAATAAATAAAATCATAGCCCCAGAAGGATTCCAATCATTGGGATCTTCCTCGTCCAGCCAAGAAGAATTACTGTAAACAAAACAACTACTTTACCAGAACTACTTCTGTGTGCCAGAAAAACCTTTTTTAAAACAAATAAAAATGTAATTTCCAATTATAATTTATAAGATTGGATACTGCTTCATGTTACAAATGGTCTATGTCTTTTATTATACATTTAATATAGCTGAAGCCTACTCTTCCATTTGGTCATTACCAGTTACATAAAGAATGTTGATCTTAAAACGTGACTACTTAATTAACACTGTCTACTTCACGATGAGATGCCATCCTACCATCAGCAAATTAGTTGTGAAGATAATACTCAAATAAAACCTTTAGGTTGTATCGTAAATCATTGGGTCTGGCACTTAGGCAGATTCTCAGAATATTAAAAAGCTCTGAAGACACATAGGCAAAGTACAGAGAGTGTGATCTAGCCGTAAGACCTATTGAAACTTGGGGAATTTTTATGGTATGTCTCAAAGTGAATTAAATGCATTTGTGCTGACATATAAAAGGAAAATTTAAGGAACAATGCACTGGGCAGAGTCTTACTGCAATACATTTTTCAACATGGAGTCTGCAAGTATGTGTCACAACCAGTTTCCTTATATACACTTGCAGCACCAATCCTGAGACCTGTTGCATGGAGCACCTCAACCCAGCTGTGGATCCATCCCTAAGCCCAGTCCTGCTGTCCAAAAGTGGCCTCTGAGTTCTCTCACTCCAGGATGGCTACAAGACAATGCTTGTTATAAATTGAGACCACAATGGATCATAATCCAATTAAAATTTTATTAATTATAGCAAGTAGAATATGAGCAAAGACAGCACTGGACAGCAGGGGAGTCTGCGCTCCGCCAACTGCCGTGCTGAGCAGTTCAAACAGTCCCTTTTTATACATCTTTACTTCCGTGTTCATGAAGTAGTGGCGGTACTCTGCGCATGCTTCAGTTGTTGTTAGGGGGTCGTTTTCTGCCTCTTGGTGGTCGTTGAGGCCGAAGTAAGAAGTCTTCCTCCTTTGTCCCATAGTTGACCCCTCACTCATATGTCCTTATATGGGGTTGTTTGTCCTGTTTCTGTTGGTTCCTGGACATCTGGTGGTTATCTTGCACAAGCGGTATCTGGTTTAGTTTGTGTAAGCGATTGCAGTTATCTTATCTTACACAAGCGGTGTCTGGTAGCTGTTTGCATAAGCGATTCCATATCTTTTGTTGCCTAACCTTTACATTGAGCTTAACATAAATCTTAATAAACAATACCCTAGTCCATAGTTTCTCACAATCCCCCCTTTTTCTTTTTATTCTATTATTGTTTATTAGACGCTACTTTCATTCTCGGCACTGCAAGCAAACCTTTTTCCACAATCCCAACATTTATCATAACACTCACAAGGTAATACCTCACAATTACAATAGGCATAGTTTTCACATGGCATAATGCATTCACAACAATCTTCATCCTCATTAATAGATACACTCATATTTTGCCCCAGACCTTGTAGTTAAAATAAGCAATTTAGCTATGTCAAACCGTTCTTTAATAAAATGTAAAATATAGCGCAATATACAAGGCCCAAATATAAGTCCCAGAATCAACATAATAAGCGGTCCTGCTAAAGCAGACAACAAAGTGGTTAGCCAAGGTGAAACATTAAACCAGTTTTCATACCATGACCTTCCCGCTTCACGATCCTTTTTACGTTGACCTAACCTTTTCTGGAGTTCAGACATGGTGTCCTGGACTACTCCCGTATGGTCAGCAAAAGAACAACATTCTTCATTGAGAGCTACACATAACCCTCTTCCTTTAAGAACAATAGATCTAATCCTCGTCTATTTTGCAGCACTACTTCTGATAAAGACTTTAATGAAGTGGCTAAATTTTGGATAGATTGTTCTATTTTTGCTAAATCCTCATCTACAGCCATCTGCAAACTTTGTAATTCCTGACCTTTTACTAGGGAGGCTATGCCTGTACCTGCTCCAACTCCGCCCGCTATCAGCAGTGTAGCTAGGGTTACCACTGTAATTGGCTCTCTTTTTTGTATATTCAGGTCTCCTTCAAAGTGGCGTAGCACCTCCTCAGAGGTGTGATAGATTAGACGAGGAACAATAATCACCTGTAAGCAAAACTGAGATTGATTAAACACGTTTAGGGATAGGCAAGGCGTTACTCCGATGTCTGAACAAACCCATTTAGCTCCTGGTGTCGGGATAGCCCATTTGTCATTTTGATTTTTGTGTTTCTCTATATTGGTGTTAGTGACTGGTTGCACAAAGGCTGATACTTTTCGGGCACTGTACCTATACATCTTCCTTGACCTGTTACTAATTGAATAGTAATTCCTTGCGTATGATTCCTCTGGTCATCCCATGGACATTCTCGTGGGTTTGAACCATTAGACCATTGAATCCTACCTGGTTTTCCAATTGCCTCAAAATATGGTGGTCTAACATTATAACATAACCAGCATTCCTCAGTTAAATTTGGTTTGCTTTCATTAAGGGCACGATAAGAGGCTTGCATTAGATTCCATAAGGGGTCTTTGGATTCTGACAACTCTAGATCCCTGGATAAGGCGAATTCAGTCACAGTGTCATTAGTTGTTTTCGAAAGGGAGTCTGGAGAAGGGGTTACGACAATTACGGGGCAACCTTTTCTTCAAAGGAAGTGGGTGGATTCAGGACCAGATTTGGTCCTATTGACAAAGGATCATGAGGAAGCTTTTCTTTAACTATTCTAAAGTAACTTCCCATATCCGCTCCTGATTCCCAATATCTAATTCCCCAGATATGGCCAACTAACCATGTGTCATCTTGGGGTTCTTTTATAATGATTTCAATTCTGATACAGGACACGCTGCCACAGGGTCTTGTAGGGTGTCCATCAAAATCATGCTTTGGGGGAGTGCAGCCCGGGGGTCCCCAAGCTACATCTATATATTTATCTCCTCGCGTTTTCCAATCCGAAGCAATAGTTTCACAACCCCAATAGCCACAGTAAAAATGACCTGGATAATTACAATAACTTCTGCCATGGTTACTTGCTGGACATATATAAAATGCCTTGCATTGGGCCTGAAGCTTTGCTAGATCTGGGGTAAAAACAGGGGAGTCCTGTTCTATAGATATCAGGGAATATAGATGCAAGGAGAAATTCCACTTCCCTGGACCAATCTGAGTTTGAATTAATCTTGACTCTGGTAAATTATATAATTTCCAGGCCATAGGTTCATGAGGGTTTCCATTTGCTTGGGTTATTATCAATAACAAAACTAACGGTATACGAGAAAAAAGGGTGTCTGTCAATTTTGCCAATTTAAGTATATTTTTTCCAGTCCTGGGGACGTTCGGCCATTGCTGCTTTTGTGTCCCATTGTTCTGGTTCTTTTCTCCACAGTTTGTTCCTCCATCAACTCGGTTGCTTCGAGCCACGGGGTGTACCATCTTCTCGGCAGCAAGGGAATTCTTCAGGAGAACAGCTGTTTCGGGCTTTCTGCCTGTTTATATAGGCTTCCCACTTTGCAGCTTTAACTAATGGGACAAAGCAAGACACAGTTAGTACTTCCCTTCTGCACTTTATAGCCAAGATTTCAGCTACAAAGGGGACTGGTTCGTTGGAATGGTAACAATATTGAGGGTTTATTCCTTTGGCAAAAATTTCCCACCACTCATGGGATTCTTGAATAATTTCTTGTTTAGACTCTAATTGTTTTAGTTTCCACTCAGTGAGAGTTCTTTGGATTTTCCAACACTGTGTGCGAACTCCTATCGGAGGGTATCCACATTCACAGTGTGTCCACCATTTATCCTGGCATACCTTACACCTGAAACAAGCAAATGGGTAACAATTGCAGTTCAAATTATTGCACCTAATTCGTATATCTAGAGTGCTTAAATTATTTACATCAGCATATCTTCTATATTCAATATTGTGTGGTTGCATAAGTTTAGCAATTTCCTTCAACACACTTTGTACGCTTCCATATATAATAGGTAAAAAAAGAAATAATTATAGCATATACCAAAAGGTAATGCGGCAAAATAATCAAATAAAGTCTCTATCATTACGTTATCTTTTCAGGGTTATCTTGGTGTCACCTGGAGTACTGATTACTTTTCAGTGGGGTCTCGTCACTGGGCCTTTAATGCGACTGGCATGAGTCCATCCAAGCTCAGCAGTCCGGACAGCTGTTTCTGTTGTAAGCAAAACAAGATAAGGTCCCTCCCAATTGGGTTTTAGGGTTTCTTCTTTCCACATTTTAACCAATATCCAGTCCCCAGGTTTAAAATTGTGAATTTTTAAGTCCAACGGGGGTCGTTGCACAATCAGTCCATGTTCCCAAGGCTTGTTACGATGTTCTGCTAATTGTGAAACATATTCATTAATTACACGATCTTGAATTAAAACATTTGTTTGTGGACTTTCAATTCTATAGGACATTCCATACACCATTTCAAACGCTGATATTCCTACATCTGCTCGAGGTCTGGTTCTGAGAATTAACAGTGCCATGGGTAGGCACTTAATCCATGATAATTTGGTTTCTATCATTAATTTAGTCAAAATAGTTTTGATTTCTCTATTCATCCTTTCAACTTTTCCCGAACTTTGTGGGTGCCATGGCGTATGGTATTCCCACTCAATACCCAAGCTTTCTGTTAGATCTCTAACAATTTTTGACACAAAGAGTGTTCCTCTGTCTGAATCGATTACATCAGGTACTCCATATCGAGGTATAATGTGTTCAAGTAATACCTTAGTAACTTGGTTAGCAGTTGCCTTGGAGGTAGGAAAAGCCTCAACATAATGTGTTAAATGATCCACCATTACTAATAAATATTTGTAACGCCCTACCCTGGGTAGTTCAGTAAAATCCACTTGTATGTGTGAGAAGGGTCTGTATGCTGGGGAACGTCCTCCAGAGGTTTTTGTCTCATATTGTTTCGATTAACCTTTTGACAGGTCTCGCAGGTTGCCGTGACTGTCTTTGCTATGTTATATACGCCTATACAGGCAAACTGTTGATTGAAATGATCAACTAACACCTGGGTTCCCCAGTGTATTTTTGAAAATATTTTGAGTGCTATGCCCTTCGGCAAGACTTCTCTCCCATCTGGCAATATGTACTTACCATCCTGTTCCTTAGCTCACATTTGTTCTAGTTTTTCCTTTTCTGCAGACTCAAACCTCAAATTTTTACTAACAGGTACTTGTTGCATAGTCAAAATCGTACTATAATTGCCTGCCACTCATTTTGCTTCTGTATCAGCTGCATTATTTCCCCTAACTTGATAACTTGTACCTCGCTGGTGTCCCTTTATATGTACAACTGCTATTTTATTCGGCATTTTCAATGCCCCCAGAACTCGAATTAATTCCGGGTGTATCAGTTCTTTTCCCTGTGAGTTAACAAATCCTCTTTCCTCCCATATTTTTCCAAAGGTATGTACCACTCCGAACGCATAGCGTGAGTCTGTATATATAGTTCCATCCTTTCCCTTCAGTGACACTAATGCTTTCCACAATGCATACAGCTCACAGGCTTGAACCGACCAGTTGGCACTCAGGGGGCCCGATTCTATTGTCTTAAATTCTCCTTTTTCCAACTTAACAATGGCATATCCGGACAATCGTTTACCTTCCACTATTCGAGATGACCCATCTATGAAAAATATTTCTCCATGTTGTAGTTCCTCTTCTTCTAGATCTGGTCGAATTCGTGTTTGTTGATCAATCGTTTGAAGACAGTCATGTACTAACTCAGTACTTTCCCCTGGGTATAGAAATTCTGCAGGGTTAACCGCTCCAACAGTCCTTAGGGACAGTTTTGGAGATTGTATGACTATTCCCTCATACTTTAGTAGTCGGCTATCTGTAAGCCATTTTTCCGCTTTTTGTTGAAGCACCCCCCTTATATTATGAAGCGTATATAGGACAACTTCTCCATTAAAGGTAATATGATTCATTTCTTCAAGTAATAAGGCAGCAGCAATAATGATTTGTAAACAACTTGGCCAACCCCTGCTCACAGGATCCAACAGCTTTGATAAGTATGCCACTGGTTTCTTTTGTCCGGCCCATTCCTGAGTTAATACTCCGAATGCCATTCCTTCACGTATGTTAACGAATAAATGGAATGGCCGCTTTAAATCTGGGAGGCTTAAAACCGGTGCTTGACTTAGCTCCCTTTTGAGACTGGCAAACTGCTCTTGATCCTGAGGGGTCCACTTGGGTATTTTGTCTTTAGACAGTTGTTCATATAAAAATTTAACTTTAAAGCTGTAGTTCTCTATCCATTGCCTACAATACCCAAATAGCCCTAATGCCTGCCGAATTTGCCTCTTAGTGACAGGCATAGGTAATTCTAGAATTCCTTTAATGCG